GTGAGGGAGGCCTGCCCCGGGGTCCACCTGAGCCGCCCGCCAGCCCTGCTGCCCGGGCCCCCCCATTCCCCCCCTCAGCCACCCCAGCTGTCCTAGGGGGGTTCTTCCTGGGCTGGGGATCCTCGAGGGGAGGCCCCGGCCCAGCTCCTGAGGGTCTCCCAGCTGGCAGGGGGGACCGGGCTGTCACCCATGAAGCCCCCTGGGGTGGTGAGCCCTGTGAGTGGAGCTCTGAGGGCCCCAGGGGGGAACTGACTCAGCTGGTGGTGCTGGAGGGGGGGAGGCGGGGAGAGAGCTCCAGTGTGGGAGCCCCGCCCCCATGGCCCCAGGTGTACTACAAGCGGGCGGACATGGCCATCGGCTCCCTCACCATCAACGAGGAGCGCTCTGAGATCGTGGACTTCTCGGTGCCCTTCGTGGAGACGGGCATCAGCGTGATGGTGGCGCGAAGCAATGGCACCGTGTCCCCGTCGGCCTTCCTGGGTGCGGCTCGGCTAGGGGTGGCTCTGGGCAGAGGGGCCTACACGGGGGCTGTGCGGAGCTCGGGGGAGATGAGGAGTAAGATGAGGAGTGTGGGGTGGGCCCTCCGGGGCAAGCACAGCAGCCTGGGTGCCTCTGAGCCTGAGTGTGGTGCACGGGTGGGGGCGGGAGGGGAGTGGGATAGAGGGTGGCCCCAGGTGAGGGACAGAAAGCCAGGAGGCAGCTGGCCTCAGGACACGCCTAGTCGGCTGGGACAGCAGAACAAGGGAGAAGCTCCTGGGGGCACTGGAGAAACCTCTGAGCGTGGGAAGTGGTGCTCGTTTCTGACTTGACTAGGAAATCGGCATTTGCAGGGCAGCCCCTGTGCCAGGTGCCAGCTGGGCACTGGGACACAGCGACAGTCCCGGCCTCCCCAGAGCGCCCCGCCGGGAGGTCAGCTGGGACTTGCAGTGTGGGGTTACAGAGAGCCGTGAGGACAGGGGAGCCTCTCGGCCAGGAGTAGAGGAGGGAACCCCAGCTCTGCCCCTTCCTGCTGTGTGGCCTTGGGCAAGTTGCTGAACCTCTCTGAGCGGGGTTCCTTTGCCACTTCATAGAGAGGCATCATGGCAGCGATGGCTTCTACTCGGGGGGCCTGAAAGGATGTGTCAGAGACCTCAGCTCGGCCTCCCAGCTCCTCGGGCCTTGGCTTCTGTGTCAGGAGGAGTGAGACATGACCTCCGAGGCCCAGGGAGCACAGCCAGCTCATCCCCGTGGGGCCAGGGAGGGAGCTCCAGGGCAGGAGTGTGGGCAGCGGGGCTGGCGCAGAGGGTGGCGAGGAGGACAGAGCAGTTCCTTGGGTTTGCTG